CTCCAGCATCAATCCCTGCATTAATTGCAATGTTTTTACACCAAACAAACCAAACCCAGTGCTCACGTTGGGGTGGGAGCACGTTTTGGAGCCGTGGGTTTTGTCCCATCGGGGAAAACTCTGCACAACCCTCACGGAGCAAATTTCCAGCCAGGATTTGGAGTCAGCTCCGAGCTGTGAGCCAGGAGCTGATAAATGTCACCACCAGAGTGGATTAGAAATGTCCATTTGGATCTTGGCCCTTGACACCGCTCCTGCTGAGCGTGGATGGACCCTGGGAAAGCTCCTGTGGGAATTTCAGATTTACCTGAGTGGCTTCAGCTGCCTCAGGGAGTCACTCCAGTGGGCTGGACTTTCTTCCAAGGAGTTCCCTTTCCCTTGATTCTGCTCCTCCAGCCCCCAGAGCTGTTCCCAGAGCGGGATATTTTACCCAGGCACTTGGGTGCCATGGCTGAGTAAGCCCTTAATGCTCTTAGAAATTCAACAGTCAAAGGAGATAAAGGTTATCTGATACTCCAGTGACCTCCAAGCCCTCTCTGGTCACTGTGTCTGGCAGCAGCACCATCCATCACCCCTCAGTGCCACATTCAAGCTCCTGAGAGCATCAGCTGAGCTGCAGCTCCCAGCACGCTGCCCCCCTGCCCCAGGGGCAGCAGATCTGGGGCCAAACGTTGGCTGTAGGCAGGCAGGTTATTCCTGTACCCACACAAGACACCGCAGTGCCAAGTGTGAGGTCTGGGAGTCACAGAAATAAACGCGCTGGGAAGCTGAGAGGGAGGTGAGGGAGGAAGGGAGGGAGGTGTGGAGGGTTTGTTGTCGCTTCAGGGGTGGGTGGGAGTCAGGTTGGACCCACCACGGAGCCCTGCTGAGTTTGGGGCTCTGCACTCCCCCCTGCGAGTCCTGCAGGGTGGAAATGGGATGGAGGGAGATGAGAGCCCCCAAATGAGAGCCCAGCTCAGGGAGGAATCCCCGAGCACCAGCATCAGGTTCTGGCTCCTGACTCACAGCAACGTGACTCAGGAGGAGCTACCAAACCTCAACAGAAGCAAATCAAGGACAAGATATTTCTGTACAGAATAATTCTGTGAAATCAGCTCGGCTGCGAGTTCAGGAGTTCGATAAGAGCCTGCACTGGTGTGGAACCAGCAGCACAAGCAGCCAGGCACGCTGCAAAGTGAACTTTGATAGGAAAGGAGATGCAAGGGTGGAGTAAACACCAAAACATCTGGCTGGCAGCTCCAGCGAGCTGCGAAGAGCAGCCAAAGAGCCCAGATGGAATCACACTCCCTTGTCCCCAGGGCTGCAGGGAAGTCCAGGCTCACATGAGAGGGATCAAAATGCCACGAGGCTCCAGCAATGAGGTGACAACAGCGACGGGAATTGGGGACAGGGAGCGCCCCCACGCCAAGCCGCTGGGACCCAGCTCGGAGCAGCTCCACGTCCCACACACTCCTCGGAGCAAGGAGAGGAGCAGGGAGAAGCGGGGAGGCCGCTCTTGGCTGGGTTTGAAGTGGAACCTGGGAATTGAAGTCGCTGGATGCTGCCGAAGAGCAGCCCCAGCTCAGCTCAGCGTGGAGCAGAGAATCCAGGACCGAGGAGTGACACCAGACAGGAGAAACACTCAAACTCAGCGTGGGGCTAATGAAGGGCTTTTTGAAGAGCAAAATCAGACGAGGTATAAAAACAAACAGGGCTGAGCATGTCACAGAGGCAGCAGGAACACACGAGGAGCGCCAGAGGTTAAAGGAAGCGATTCTGGGCACCAAGGATCTCACAGGGATGCTGCAAACCTCTGTTCCTTCCGGCTCCCACAGCTTCCCTGGAGATTTCTGTGCCTTTGCAGAGCCTCCAGGGAGATGCCATCCATGCCTGGGGTGGCAGCAAACATGGTTGTTTAAAGGGAAATATGTTATGGAGCCCGTTTGATGACTTGGAAGGATTTATTCCATCATCCAACCTCAATCCCAGAGACAGCAGCCACCGGAGGGACTGCAAAGGGATGACAGGGGCTTGTGCCCTGATCCTAAAAGTCAGGAGATGGATGGTAAGACAACAGATAATTAAATTCAAATAACCAGAGAGGAAATTCTCTGGAGCTGTGATGAAAGAAGGGTCGGACAGACACGATTTTTGAGATGCAGGGCGGTGGAGGGGGAGCTGGCAGCTCCCACACCGACGGCAGCAGGAGACCTCTGAGACCTGGTGGCCTCTGCCCAGGGGTGCTGACCCCCCATGAAAACGCACCCAGGTGTATCCCCACACCTGGCACAGCCCTTCCCACCCGCCTGAGGGATGCTCCAGACGCGTGGGAGGGCTGGGACAGCGCAGGGAGCTCCCAGAGAACACGGAGGTGACACGGCTGTGTCCTGTGCTGTGACACCGAGAGAGAAGCAGAGCCACTGAGGCCAGCGGGGGCTCGGGAAACGGGAGCTGAGGAGCTCCATCCTCCCCGGATGAGCGGATCCGTGCAGGGCAGCTCCCGTTCCCGGGGGCTCCGGGACGCCTCGGCGGAGTTGGCTGCGTGACACCGGCTCCCCCGGCTCGTTACCGCTCGCTGCCAGATGCTCCGGGGCTGAATCACAGCGATTTGTTGTGGCGAGCTTCGCCTCGGCACCTGCTGCACGCTGAACACCTCCTCTCCCTCCTCTTCCTCCTCTCCCTCCGCCTCCTCTGCCCTGCCCGAGTGTGATGGGGAGCGGGTGCTGCACCCACGGGGGTCGGGGACAGCCCCCTGCGGGCTCCTGCAGGAGACACGGAAAGGGTTAAAAGCCGTGCCCGGAGCCCCCGGGGTGCGGCAGCGAGAGGGGACAGCGGGGGGCTCCGGGAGGGGGGTCCCAGCCCAGGCACAGCCCGAAAGGACGCGACTCCCACGCACCTTCCTCCTCCCCAGGGAGGCTGGGGGATCGCAGGAAGCCCCAGGAGAGCCAGTGCCACACAAGACCCCTCTTTTCCAGAGGAAACGCCCCCAGGACCCCCCCAGGAGCCACCCACAGCCCCCCAGAGCTGACCCAGTCCGGCCCCTCCCAGACCCTCCCCAGCTTGGAGCCTCCAGGAGCCGAGCGCGGATTCCCTCTGCCGTTCTCACATCCCGGGGCTTCCAGAGCCCTTCTCCAACCGGACGAGGAGGGAAAGCCTGGGAAGAGCCTCACCCGGCCTTTTCTGCCCTCAGATTTGCCCCAGGGCACCTCCAGGGTCAGACACTCGGGGTGGAGCTGGAGGCAGTGCGGGGATCGGCTGTGACCGGCACCAAGCTGTTCCTCCCACGGCCGCTTCCCACGGGGATTGTGACTAAGGGAACCATCCCTGGCGCACAGCTCTGGTGCAGGAACCTCGGAGCAGCTCCTCAAAAACGCACGTGAGGGCTTGGTGCAGGCCTGGGGAAGGGCTGAACACGAACGATCCCATGAAAGGGGTTAATCCTCCTCTGGAAACGAGCTGGGAATGTTTCCCCGGAGCCCCGAGGTCCCCCGGAGATGGGAATGCCTGGGCTGGCGTGAGCCGGAGCTCGGGGGGATCATCTGATGGATGAGAGCACGGATGGGTGAGGGTGGATAAAGGAGTTGCCTGGGAGATGCCAGGGGCCAGCCAGGACTGGACATTGACTTTTAGGGCCGGGAACAGAACAGGCTCCACCCCAAATGTGGTTCAGCTGCAAGGACCAGGCGTGGGACTGGGTGGTACAAGCTGCAGAGACAGTGACGGGCTGGGCCACGCTGGCTAGCACAGGTGACATCCGAGAAAGGGTGACACCCCAGCACAGGTGACAACCGAACACGAGTGACACCCCAGCACAGGCGACATCCAAACACGAGTGACACCCCAGCACGGGTGACACCCCAGCACAGGTGACATCCAAACATGAGTGACATCACAGCATGGGTGACAACTGAGCATGGGTGACATCCGAGAAAGGGTGACACCCCAGCACAGGTGACACCCCAGCACAGGTGACATCCGAACATGGGTGACACCCCAGCACGGGTGACACCCCAGCACGGGTGACATCCGAACATGAGTGACATCCGAGCATGGGTGACAACTGAGCATGAATGACATCTGAGAAAGGGTGACACCCCAGCACAGGTGACATCCGAGCACAGGTGACATCCGAGCACAGGTGACACCCCAGCACGGGTGACACCCCAGCACAGGTGACATCCCAGCACGGGTGACACCCTAGCAAGGGTGACATCCAAGCATGGGTGACATCCTAGCATAGGTGTCACCCCATCACAGGTGACATCCCAGCACAGGTGACAACACAGTGACAGTGACAGCCCAGCACGGGGGCACCCTAGCACGGGTGACATCCTAACATAGCTGTCACCCCAGCACAGGTGACATCGCAGTGACAGTGACAGCCCAGCACGGGTGACACTCCAGCATCTCTGCTCCGGCCGCTCTCACCCTGCCAAGGGGACCGTGCTCCATCCAACCAGCGGCCCCGCGGAGCGACCCGGCCCGTCCAGGGGACACCGCGAGCCCAGAGGGGACCCGGCCTCGCTGGACCGGCCGATACTTCGCGGTGGGACCGGTCCCGCTCCCGGCCGCAGACCGGCGAGACCCCCTTCCATGGCGGGACCGCCCAGCCAGGGATCCGGCGTGGGGACGACATCCTGAGGTATCGCCGCTCCGCTGGGCCCGGGCTAGCTCGGCGCGGGGGCGGGATGGGGACGGAGGGGACGGAGGGGACGGAGGGGACGGAGGGGACCGAGGGGACCGAGGGGACCCCGCTGCCGCCGCTCCCGCCGCCGCCGCCCCGCGCGCACCTGCCTCCCGCGGGGAGTCGCGCATGCGGCGCGCACCACCGCGCCTCAGGGCGCGGGGGGGGCCGCCGTCCGGAGCGGGCGTGTTTACACGGGGGCCGAGGGGGGCGGCACCCCCCCCCCCCCCCCGGCACGAATGGTCTCTTCCTCGCGCTCTATTTAATCCCCGCCGCTGCCGCACCGCCGGCTCCAGAGCGGAGGGAGCAGCGCCCGCCGCCCGCGCTGCGGCTCGGTCGCGCCGGCCCCGCGGGCTCCCGCCGCCACCATGCAGCCCCCCGCCCTCGGCATCCTCCTGCTCATCGCCTGCTTCGGCAGCGCTCGGGGAAACCTCTCCCGCGACGGTGAGTGACGCCGCCGGGAGCGGGCGAGCCTCTCTGTGCGCCCCCCGCCGCTACGGCCGGGGATGCGGGGAACCGAGCGACAGGTGCGGGGAGCGGCGGCGCGAACGGGGCCGTTATGTGGGTCAGGCAGGTGCCGCCCGCCCGGCCCTCGGGGCCCGCCCCGCCGCCGGCTGCGGGTGCGGCTCCCGGGCGGCCGGCGGGGGCTCAAGGTCACGGCGGCGCCGGTGCTGCCCGTCGTGTCCCCCGGTGGCCGCGGACCGCCCGGGGCGGGGCCGGGGCCGGGGCGGCGGAAGGTTCCAGACAGGCCCCGGCGGGCGGCGGCGGCGGCGCTCGGCCCCTCCCGGCGCTGCCCGCGGAGAGGGGGGGGCGGATGGAGGGTCCCCGGTGCGGCACGGCCGCCCCGCCGCGAGGGTGCCGGGGCCCGGCGGTGACACGCGGAGCGGGGACAGACACCGCCGAGGGGCGGGCGGAGTCCCCGGGGGAGCGGCCGTGACATCCCCGCCGTGGCTGGGGCGGCTCCCCGGTCCCTGCCGGTCCCTCCGGTGGGAGCCGCCTCCCCGGGATGGGCGGGGGGCTCGGCAGCGGCGGCCGCTCCCCGTCCCGCCGGGATGTGCGGGGCATCCGGCGGCCGCGGGGCGCGGCGGAGCCCCGGCTCGCCAGACAAAGGGGGTTCACCCTCGGCGACAGTCGCGACAGGTGCGGAGCGGGTGTGATTTCTGTCGGGGCTCGCCGGTGGCAGCGCCGTGTCCCCCGACGCTGTGGGGCTGCGGTCCCCGCGGGGTGACCGGCGGTGGCTCGGACCCGCCGTCCCTGTCTGGCTGCTGGCGGCTCCGTTTGCTGTGTCGGGAGTCGTCTGTCGTGACAGAATCGATGCTGCCGCGCGTGTTTGGGTGGGGAGGACCCAGGGGCTGGGCTGGCCTCGCTGTGTTGTGGTCTGGGGGTGCTGACGGTGGTTCCGGTCTCCATCCACATCCCTGCGGCCCGTCAGGAGCAGGGAGGGGGATTTGGGAACAGGATCGAGGGTCCCGAGGGCTGCGCGGGTGGGAGCGTGGCACGGTGGGGACAAGGGCTGAGCCCGCAGCCCCCACGGCTCCCCCGCACCCATCTCTGTTGCTGTCACAGGCTCTGGGGGCTGGTGGCTGTGTTCCCATTCACGAATCCCGGGATTTGTTCTGGTTTTGGCCACGGTCCTCCCACGGGCACCCAAAAGAGTCACTTGGGTGTGGGTGATCCTCAGCCCCACGGCGTGGGGACCTCCTGGCAGCCTCAGCGTGGGGATGGGGATGGCTGAGCATCCCAGGGAGCGCTCCCAGGAGGGGAGGTGGCCGTGACCCGGAGCTGTCCTGGGACAGGACGCAGCCTGGATGATGACACTGCAAGATTTCCTCCTGGACTGGCCTCTGCTGTGGCCCAGCCCTGGCCACCAGTGCCAGGGTCCAGCACAGCTGGACAAAAAGAGCCCAGAAAACCCTTCAAGGAGCAGAGGAGATGGACGGCTGGGAGATGCTCAGAAGGAAGTTGTTGCATCTTCATGGTTGCTGCCTCATCCTGGAGCCCCTGTGCCATCCCAGCGTGGCTCAGGGGACATCTCCTCCCTGGCACCCGTCCTGGGGCAGGATGGACTCTCTTCCTTGGAGAACATTCCTCCAGCGTGGCGGATGGCTCCACCACAGCCATGGCAGGGTCTGGAGGAACCCCTGGAAGCCTCCCAGGCACTGGGAGCACTGGTCCTGCACAAGAGGGCCCTGTCTGTGCTCTTGGCTGGCGTTGTGCTGCTGTCGGCACATTCGGGTGTTTGGGCTGGTGCGTGGTTGTCCTTGTGTGAGGATCATTCTCTCTCTGCAGGGTTATTCCACTCGGCAGTTGTGTAACCCTTTTGTTTGGACAATTCCATGGGAGGCCACCACGGGCTAAAGCCAGATGACTTTAGGGGCTGTTTTTTTCCCTGGGGCACTGGAGGACATCGGGAGGTGTCCTGAGCCTGCTGAGATGAGGGCTTTGCAGAGAGGCAGGTTTAGGGCACTGTCCCTGTCCTGCGGGTTGGCTTTGACTCTCTGGAGCTGCTGGAGGTGTCTGCTTGGCCAGGCCAGCAGAGCTCCCTCTGTGCTGGGGAGATGCTCTGAGCTTCCAGCTGGGCTCCCACAGGGTTTTTGCCATCCCCAGCCTCCGAGCAGGGAACATCTGCAGGTCCTGCAGGGAGACGGCAGCACTGGAATGTGGGAGGCTGGAGCAGGGAGAGCCCAGGGGCACAGTGGGGTGGTGGGAGCCCGGCGTTGTCTGGAGCAACAGAAACCTTTGATTGCCGCTTTCCGTGGTGCTTTTCCCCAAGGAATGTGTGCAAGAGCCCCGTTCCCAGTGCCATTAGGGCTTGCCATATGCTCCCAGTGCCTGTGCCAGCACCAGCCCTTGGCTCCGGAGCTGAGGAAGCGGTGACAGCCCTGGTGAGGCACGAAAGGGAGGGAGGGCAACCTCTCTGCATCACTCACTACCTGCTTGGCCTGATTTCGGATGACTCGGATCAGCTGCCTGGGGGAAACGAGCTGTTCCAGGGCTGGGATCAGCACTCAGCCGGAGGAGAGGGGAGGGAGCAGTGCATCCCTGTGCAGGCAGCCGGCTGGAGAGCACGGAATCCACCGCTCAGCTGTCTGGCACAACGCGTTAGGCTCAACAGGCAAGGCCGGATTTTAGGACAAAGCCTGGGATCAGGCTCTGCGGAGGTGCCCGCCGCATGCCCAGACGGTGAGGGATGCGCTGGCACCGGAATTGTGCCGCTGTCCTGACAATGCCGTGGGGTTTGGCATGGCCTGTGCTGTTTGCTGGGAGCGTGGTGGCCCGGGAGGAGAAATCCCAATGGAACGGGGCGATGCTGCCGGAGTGTGAGCTGAGCATCCCGAGGACGGGTACCCGTCCTCCTCTGGAGAGGGAAAAGCGCCCCGTTTGCCCAGGATTCCCTGCCTGGGAGGTCTCCTGCCTGCAAGATGCTGCCTCTTCTCCCTCTGCCTGACGTTCTCGCCTCTCCAGGGGTGTTGGAATCGCCGGAGGAATCGGAGGCGGCTACATCTGGGGAGTCACCCTGGCGCTGGCACGGCGGCCGCGCAGCCAGATGGAGGGAGCTGCGGCAGAGCTGCTCCTGTTTGTTTTCCCTGCCTTGGTTCCTAACCTCGTTTTATGCCAATCCAGGGTGTCTCGTGCCCATCCCTGCAGGAGAGGAGGACACGGAGGGAGTGGGGCAGGATGCAGACATGTGTATGAGGTGGTTTTGGTGGCAGTGCCAGCTGGGAGCTTGGTGGGCTCTGCTTGTGGTGCTGGGCTTGTTCTCCTGGGCACGGCTGTGCCAGTCTGGCCTGGCACTCCCTGCCCAGCCTGGTCTCCACCTGAGCTGCTCTCCAGGCCGATGCTGTGGCTGTGCAGGTCCCCCAGTGCTGGTTCTGCACAGATTGAGCGCAGTCCTTGCTGCTTTGGCTCTTCAGTGGCTCTGCGGGCCCTGGAAGGTGCTGCCAGCGCTGTAACACCCCCACAGTCAGATGGATCTGCTCCTCCTCCTCCTCCCAGTTACTGGGTCAGCTCAGCTTGAACCATCTGGTCCAGTTCTGGCCCCTCTGCTCTTGGCCGGGCACCGGCAGCAGCAGAGCCTCCATCCGGAGGTGATGGTGGGGTGGGAGCGATCTCTGGTGCCACAGCTCCTCCACCCACCTGTGACAGGCTGGGATTCTCCATCCCCCTCCCGGAGCTCCTCTTCCACCCCACCCGGGGCTGTCCCGGGGGGAGGACGAGGAGCCAGGGCAGCGTTGGAGGCAGGAACGCTCCGTGCTGCGTTTGGGCAGCCCTGGTGCCAACAGCACCAAGCCAGACAACCCAAACGCAGCCGGTGACGGCGGAGGGAGGCGGGGAAGCCGAGGCTGTGGAAAGGGAATGTGTTTAACCATTCCAGTCACCTGCCCAGCGTCACGCTCCGCCTGCGCCGGGATGCGGCCGAGGGCGCAGGGACCGCGGGCAGGTGTTGGATGCTGCGGCTCCCACGGAGCCTCTGCGGTGTCTGGACGTGCTGGAGGGTGGCAGGGCTGGTGCAGACCTGGCAGCAGCAGCATTTCCCAGGAGTTTGGCCGGGGAGCAGCGCAGCTGAGAGCTCCCCGTGTCCCTGCAGCATCCCGGGAGCTGCCCCATCCTCGGGTGATGCTCCAGGCGCTGCTTCAGCTGCAGATGCTTTTCATCGCCTACAACACCTCAAACGGCGTTTGCTGGCAAGCTCAGCTTTCCCAGACTGCTGCTGTTGCTGTGATTTCCCGGGAAATGAGTTCTGACACTGCTGGTCCGAGTGGCCGCTGGCAGGGAGCGCAGCAGGTCCCTGGGCTGGGTGCTGCTCAGAAGACAGGACTTGCTGGGATCCCCACACACCCTGGGGAGCTGTTTCCAGAGCTGGGATGTGTTTTGGGGTGTCTGTGCTGGTGTCAGCTCCTTGTTCTCCCTCCTGCTGCCATCAGGATCCTGCTCTGAAGCCACAGGGAGATGGATCCGAGGTGCTCCAGCCTCGGCTGCTGCTGCTCTCAGAACCCCTGCACTCTCCTGGCACTCCTGGACGATCCATTTTGCCTCTCCAAGTCTCACCAACTTTGGGTTCTGGGTTTTTTTTCTTGTCTCCTGGTGGTTCTGGGGACTCCAGAAGGGACAGAACACTGCAGCAGCAGCAGAGCTGACCCGCTGGGCCACAGCTGATGCGGAGCACATTCCTGGGAATCCGTTGGGATGTGGGGAATCTCTGGTGCCCCAGGACCTGATGGAATGGCTGGAGCTGTGTTAGGGTGGGTTTAGGTTGGCTACCAGGGGAATTACCACATTCCCAAGGCTGCTGGAGCTCCAGGAGCCTTTGGACAAGGCTCCCAGGCAGAGGCTGGGATTGTTGGGGTGTCCTGTGCAGGGCCAGGAGTTGGACTCTGTGATCCTTGTGTGTTCCTTCCCACTCTGGCTATTCCATGATTCTATTTTCGGGAGGTCAGGAGGAG